GAAAAGTGGAGCCTGGCTGTAGCCAACTCATGTAGGAGGTTCTTGTGTGTAGAAAGAAAACGGGTACATGAAAACCAGGCTGGGTGCAATGGATGCCACTATTGGCTCTTGATACAGAAATATAGAAACTATATATCACACATGGTACCAGTGGAAGCTACCTGCTTCCTGCCCACCTGGATTGCCAAGGAATGAGTGAAAAATCTAATCACTGTTGTAAGCCCAGAGTTGGCCAACAGCAGTGAGGTATAGATGCAGAGGCCATCAGCCAGACGGTGTGACTGTGAAATGTGGCATTCCTAAAACCTTTGTATCTCATCTAAATTTACTTCTAGACTCCATCTTGCAAGGGTAAGTACATCCTGTAGTAGGCTCCAGTTGGTATGCAAACCAGTAGGCTTGCCTGTGCAGTTTTTTGTTTTCCCTTGAGTGGATTTCAGCTATAATTATTTTCTACAAAAAATTGCAAAAAGGGCCACTGACCTCTCGCAATTTAATTTTTCATTGTTCCCATTCTTCCAACGTAATATCTCAACATAACTGAATATGAAGAATCACACTTTTCTGTTGGTCACTGTGGAAGCTCTTATTTGTCAGCAAAAACTAGGCACAGCAGTGTGTCCTGTGGTAACACACAGGTTAGATGCCAAGTTTTCATTCCAGAGACCCAAATGGCCACACGTGTGCGAAGTCTGGAGCGCTGAGTTTGGGGTGAGGGGTTGACTCCTGCCCTCAGTTTGTGACCAAGGAGCAGGGTAACAGCAGGGCTCACTAGCTTTGGGCTACCAACGCCGAATTACAGCAGAAGGGGTGGCTGCAGCCCATCAAGCTGATTTCTGACTTGTTTCTGGACAGAAAAATCATTGTAGCTTGTTCACAAAGAGCTGGTGCTGAGGACAGGAAGAAAGGGAATTTTGAATGATTTGATTATTTTTCCCAGTTTGCATGTTTTCATCATTTATGAAGAGGGATGCTTCCTCCCATAAAATGTCACACTGACATTCCTGCCACTGGTTTCCACCTGCCCACACATGCTTCCCCAGCAGCTCTTCTTGCATAAGCCACAGTTTGTCCTGGTTTCAATGCAAGCAAACAGAAAATGGCTGATCCCTACTGTGTGAGTTAAAGGAGGCATTATGTGTACTTTATGCTGTTCAGCTGGCAGTAATTCAGAGAAGGGACTTAGTGATACAGTGAGAATCTCATCCATCATGGGCAATGACTCCTGGTGCCTATCACATCGAGGTCAGCTGAATGGAAAGTGTTGGGTACAGGAACTGAAAACCTTGATCGTGCAAACAAGCTGCCAAATCAAAATGAGAACATACCTCCCTGTTCTACACTTAAAATAAAGAAATGGAGACAGTGTCAAGCTCTCTAATTCCAGAACAATAGCAACCGTTCAGCCTTTGGAGCCAGGGACTTGTGCCTTCACAGCTGGCCACAAAGTGATTTTCTTCTATGATCCCAAAGAGGGGAGGAGCTCAGACTGCAAAACTCAGAGAGGTCTTTGTCATAGCAGAAGGATAAGCAGACAGCAGAGGGCTAAGTCTTGCTCTCAGGGCAGAATGCAAACACATTCAGCTGTTTATTTCACAGACATTTCAGTCCTGACATCAGCTGAATGACTTGTGTCTGATTAACCAGCCATCTCACCAAACGTTGTGCCTTGACCTAAGGGCCAGCAGCTGGATATGCATCTTAAAGGATGTCAAAGACGAGTGACAGTTTTAAGGCAGGCTTTGTGGCAAGCCAGCAGTGCTGGTGCAGTCACCTCCAGGGTGCCAGCACCTGAGAGAAAGCCAGCAACCCACACCTATTGAGCAGGGACTCTCCTCACCACCACCACACACCCCTTCTCAATTCTCCTGTGCCATGTGAGGGAGAAGCGCCATCACTGCAGCACCCATCCATAACCTTTACCTACTCCAGGTGAACCCACCAGACTCCTTGCCACCATGCCAGACAGTAAGTCAGGCACTGTCTGGGTACTGTTAATTCCCAGTTCCTCTAGTTCTGTACGCTTATACGCCTCTGTACACCTGTAAAAATTTTTGTCTCATCATGCGTATGGAAGGCCTGCACTTCCAACTGGCATTTAGTTGTCTCTGACAGTGCCATCAGCCAGGCTTACTAAGTGAATAACTGTTCTTTGTATTCTTTTCCGGTTTTGTGCTCCACAGCCAGCACAGATTCTTGGCCCCCTGTCCCAACCTTAAAGCTGAGCTTCCCAACAAGCACGTTTGCACCATCATGTAAGAAAAACCGAGGTCAGAAGAGGATCAGAAGGGAAACGCAACCTGATGCCCATGAGCACAGCACAAAGGAGCTTCTCATACTCAGAGAAAACTTGTCACACTGTACAGAAGATACAGGTATCCACACAGCAAACAAATGCTACGAAAATTGTATTTAAGAAGCATAGGGGAGCGTAGGGTGTTTTACCAGCTGACTTATTGCCAGGGAGACACTGCCTAGCAGCGTCTTGTGTTCTTGAGTGTCTAGCAGTGTCTTGTGCTCCATGAGTTTGCACAGTGGACAAGTCACCACTGCTCTGGAGGGGCTCATGGCTGAAAGAGGCAAGAGTGCTATATATCCACTGCAAAGATGTGTGAGGAAAATCATGGGATGCCTGTATACATGCTGTCTTGCTCAAGCTACTAATCATCATCTCCGTGAAAAAAAGACTTTCTACACGTTTTTAACACAGGAAAGTGAAAAACAATCTGGGTGTAACAAGCTTTCGAGGTACATGAGAGGTAAGGCTCAGCATCTATGAAATGAAAGGAAATTAAGTACAAGGCAAAACAGCTAAAGAAACTGAAGAAGGACATGAGCAAATGACAGCAAGACAGGGTCGCCAAATGCTGGCTCCAGTGAGACTAGTTTTTTAAGAGAAGCAAACAATTTGCCCAAGTTTCACCTCAAGGGTCATATTTTTTCAAATAGTAATAGAAATGTCACCCGTCTTCTGATGACTGGAATTTGTATATATATGTATCTATATATTATGTATGTAAGTGTGTGTGTGTGTATAGATACATAATAGTGTTCAGTGTATCTTCAGAGTTTGAATTTGTTCAGTCCAACTGGTTCTTCAAAAGGTCAAGAGGTACCCATCTGTTGGAGGGCTTTGATTTTCTGATCTTTTTTTAAGAGATTAATAAAGACAAGTGACTTCCTGGAAAAATGTTTCAGATGTGAAATTGGACAATGTTAGATGCGCACATTGTCAGGCAACAAAATATTTATGCAGGACTAATTCCAGTATCCAGTATTGGTTCACTACATAGATTGCTGAACTCTCTTTCATCTGTCTTCCTAGTTTATGCCAGCAGCTTGAAAAACAAAACAAATCATATTTTTAATAACAAAGGAAACCCTGCTTAAATTAAAACCCCTTTTTAACATTTAATGTTCAACTGAGCCAAAGAAGGAAGCCATGGTGAAAGCAAACAAATATGAAATGTGAAGAATTTCACTCCATTTACGCCGGGTAAAAGCTGCTTAGCTTGATCTGGTTGCTAAACTGATCAACAAGCAGATTCAGCTCTCAAGTTAAAACTCCCTCTAATGGCAACTGCATAAAGGACAGAGTTTGAAAAAATGAAAAGCATCTCGCTGCATTTGAAATGCTTGTTCGGCTGGTTAGTATAAATACTTTTGAAAAGTGAAACTTTAGCTGGTGCCCAAGATTCTTTTAAAGTACAACAAATTCGTTTACATTCCTGATAAAATTTTATGTGCTTTGTAGGATGTATTATGTAAAAATTTACATGTTATGTAAAACATGTTTTTTCCAATGTGTTTGTTGCTTTAACAGACTCGCTTAGAAAAGCACCCAACAATGGATAACTCCTCCCATCCACGAAAAGATCCTGCTGTTCAGCGACACCACTACCGACAGAAACACTAAACATTTTCAGAGATACTTACAGAATCAGAAATTCAGGGCTCAGATTTATTCATAGCAAAAAAAGCATTTTTACCTGTGCAGTGAGAACCAGGAAGTATTTCATTCTGCTCACAAATACCAAAGAGAAATCATCTTTATAAAATAATAAAAAATAAGAACAAATCACAGCTCTTTTCAGTTGGCTGAGCGCTGCCTGCAGGATAAAAATGTAAAGGAAGGAAAGTAATCAAGGGATTACTCGTTAGCACTAGATGTGATAGCAGTAATGTATAGCGAAAAACTTACAAAATCATGAATTTAGAAAGCTTCAAGCTCAGGCATAACATGAGCTGATAATGCCTTTTTCTACAACCTTGAGGGCATTTCAGGTTCCCAGGTAAATTCTAGTAGTTAATCTCCTTTATTTCTGCTGTCCCTGCAAAAGGGTGTAGAATTACAAAACTGAGAGATCATGGCTTGATTTTTCATTAGCAGGGATGATTCTGTGCATCATTTTTACAGTCAAAATTTTACAGTCAATTACCACAGCACAAGAATCTCAAGTTCTTGCTGGTCAAAGATGAAATGTTTACAGAAGGGAGATACTGTAGGGGGTGGAAATACAGAATAAAGTCAGCTGAATGTTTAAAAAAAAAAAAAAAGAAAAAAAAAAAGAAAAACCTTTTATTCAAAAACTGAATTTTTAAGAATGCTGTCTTTTATCCAAAAGCTCACCAGAACCATTATCCTCAAATCCAGTCTAGTAACTCTTCTGCTTTAGGGACAGAAGCTTTTATAGAGAGATGTGGAATAAACCTGTATTTTTTGCTAGCATGCACTTCCCTTTCAGAATAAAGTAGGCATTTGGAATCTGATCTAAACCTCACCTAAGTTAACAAAAAGAGTCTTGCAAATTCACACGAGCCTATGTGCACCATAGTTATCTCTTCTCTTAGTTTCTGGAAGTTCAAAGCAGAAATGACCACTTACCCCACCAAGATTAACTAGTAAGTATATTGATAAAAGAATAAGAATATTCTGAAAGTAGGGCATACTTGCCCTAGAGATACTAGAGACAAAGCAGAGATCAGGAATATGTCTGTGCTTGTAGGTAATCTCATTTTATTGAACGGTTTGAAGTGCTGCTTAACATAACAACACTTTACAGTCTGTACATGCAGTTTCAATTTTAAAAAATTAAATATATTTATTTTTTCAGAAGAGAAAACATGCATATTTATGCACATCATTTTGAGATAAAAGAATTACCATCTACAGTAGAAACTCCTCTTTACAAATCTTTTAAGAGACAAGGCAGGCAGTAGCAACTCTGCAGAAAGCAAAGCACACAAACTCTCTACATTGAAGGTATAGTTTATTCATTGAGAGACACTAGCAACTGCAGAAGAAGGTCGTTTAAGGATGGATTCAACTGAAAATGACAGTGGCTCAGTTGTTGAAAGTTTTGTTGTGGCCTGTTTGGCCCCAAAGAAGTCTTTCGTGCATTTGTCTACTGTAAGCTTGTATTTTTGGTTCTCTTTAATGGCACACTCTCTGTATTTCTTAGAAGCATCTTCAAAAGTCTCTTTGACAAATGATGTTCTCAGCTCTGCTCCTGATCTGTCAGGAAATGTTTGCTGGAACAGTGACTGAAATAGATTGTATTTGAGCGGTGGAGGGGGCTTGGTACTCTCTTTGCTGATCTTGCTTAATATCTGTTCCTGAGGAGCTAGAGAATCCTTATCAGAAATCTGAGAGAAAGTCCTTTTCGGGGGAGAGAAAGCCCTTTTCGGGGGAGAGAAAGCTGACCTCTCACGAGCTTCCTGAGGAAGGCACAGTATCTCCTGACCTGACTGCTGAATGTCTTGTGTGTGGGTCAGAACGAGTGGATTTTCCAGTTTTGGAGAGATGATGTCGTGCTCAGTGTTTGGACATTCCTGACTTTGTGAGACCTTGGCATCCCAAGCTGCCCCAGGTTTGAGAGCTTGGACAGTAGTTGCGTTTAACAGGCATTGCTGGTAGAGGAGAGCATCGCTAATGGGGCCACATTTTGGCCACACTAAGAACCTAGAGGACAGGGGATACTGCCTGTAGGTAGTGGCTACACTCACATTTGAAGAAATCAGTTCCATGTTGCTGGATCCTGAATACTGCATGGTTAGATCGAGGCAGGTTGGTAAAAAATTGCAAAACTCCTTGTTTGGAGTATCAACTTGTGTAGTGTTGAAGGCTGTTTTATACGAGTTGTATTCAGCTCCATGCATCATGCGGTTAGGGAGAAAAAGGGCAGCTGCTTGTGTAGCTTCCATCATCTCTCTCTCTTTATACTCTCTCTCTAGCATAATGTTCTCCAACTCCTTATCAGCAAAAGCCCGTCTCTTTCTCATCCTGTCACTTACAGGGGGTGGCAAAGGTGAATTCCCTCCCAGGTAAGGGTCTGTTGGAATAGGACGGTAACCTAAAACGACAAAGCAGCATTAGGGACGAAGCTGCGTAAGAAAAACATTAAAGCTGTGTTTGCAAAAGGGCTCCATTTGGAGCCAGCCCCACCAGGTGCCGAGCACTTGCTACAAACCCCGGACACCGTCAGCTCCTCCTGCAGTCATTGTGCCCCGGGGGCTTAGCTCCCTGCGCCCTCAGGCACATGCAGTACAAGGTCCTCACCCCTGATAAGCAAGCCCTGCTCCTCTGACATGTGGAGTCTCCTTCAAAGCTAGCTGATTAGTAACTTTAAAAAGCAACTACAAAACAGCAGATCGGGGCAGGGGGGAGGGTGGCAAAACACTTCTGTGTGTTATGACTAGTATTGTGTCACGCAGCTTAAGGAGATAACCATCGATTTTTAACAAAAACAAAAAATATTCAAATATTTTATTTCATCCGAACCAAAAAAGAACCTTAATAAAACATAAACATTGGGTCTCCAGTATATTCAATTGCCAGGCTAACAGGATTCATTTAATATAACTGGTAGGGTCCAATCCTGTTTGGTCTGCCCAGACAAGTAATCCCATTGAATTAATGGAACTACTTACATGAGTAAGGAGAACAGGGTTTTGCCTGTTTTCACTCCCATTCCTCTCACACAGGTTTCCCCATTGCCAAGGAAGTTATCTATACCTACAGCTGATGCCTTTTCTACTCTCTAAAGATGAATCACTATGTACACATTCCTACAGATGGCAGAAAATTCCAAGGAAAACTAGGAGAAAAGAAAAAGAAAGTTAAGATAAATTAGAGGAAAGAATACAGAAGAGATTTTTGTCTTAAAGTGAAGACGAAAAGTAGAGGTTTCTAACAGGAGAAAATTTTAGTTGTTCTTGCACAGGCAAAGAAAAGAGGATTCTATTTTGGGGGCGCAGGGAGGAGGGAAGGTAGATTTGAGAACTGTAATGTTTTACAGGGCCACAGTTCAGAAAGTAATTACAGCAGACATAGAAATAAATTTGGACACAATCCGAAGAGGGCAGGGGGAACAAAAAATACACGCTCTCACTAAAATATCCGTCTTTAAAATGTCTTTTTTCCACAGTTAACGTTTTCGACAGGAAAAAAAGAAAGAAAAAAAAAGAGCAGCCTATTACGCATATCTTACTATTGATAAGCCAGCAAACGGTGCTGCTGCGTTAGGCGTTCAGATCAAAAGGAAGAGGGGGGGGGGAAAAAAAAACCTAATTGATGTACTCATTTGTTGATAAAAAACAAGTGCGGATAAAGAACCCTGCGCTGCCAAACGCCGCTGGGTAGTCATGTAAAAAGAATGTCAGCTTGTAACAGTAACTCTCAAATTTCAAATTACCGTTGCTAGCATTTCAGGCATTATAGGCAGTAACTGAAATTCCAGCCACGCAGGGCAGGAGCCGCGGGCGGAGGCTCCGAGGGCACCCGGCACCCCTTGGGGCGCGGGCGGCGGGGACCCCCGCATCCACGGCTACCCGGCGCCGGTAGCGGACCGCGCTTTAACGCCGTCCCTCCTAGGTTTCGGCAGATAACGCTGCATTTCACCACGCGTGTGCGTGAGGAGCCGCCCCAGGGCCGGGAGCTGGGGCTTCTTCTCCCGGGGCAGAGCGAGGTTTCCCCGCCGGCGGCCGGAGCCCGGGGCGGCCCGCGGAAGGGCGGGGGGATGGCGCTTACCTTCCAGGATGCTCTTGGCCAGGAGGCTGGGCGTCCGGACGTGCCTCTGGTAGACGGCTTTGCGCTCCAGGCTCGCCTGCTTCCCCGCCAGACCCTTCTTGTCCTAGGAGAGCCACCGGACGGCGCCGTCAGCCCGACGGCCGCCCGCCCCGTCCCTTCCCGACCCGTCCCGTCCCGTCCCCTCTCACCTCGGTGGCCTGCTGCCGTCGGAGGGCCACCTGGGCGGCCATGACCCGCTGCCGCTCCACCACCAGCAGGCAGTTGGCGCACTGGCAGTCGCGCCAGCGGCAGAACCGCTTGTGTCCCTTCAGGCACGACACCACGCCGTGATTGCGGCACCGGGCGCACTTGGGCGTGCGGCTCAGCTTCCGCGGCTCGCCCCGCCGCGGGGCCGCCGCCGTCCCTTCCTCGCCTTCCTCCTCCTCCTCTTCCTCCTCCGGGCCGGCGCTGCTGCGCGGCGCGTCGGGGGCCTCGGCCGCCTCCCCCTCCACGCTCTCCACGTCGATCTCCCAGTCGGCGGCGGCGCGTCCTTCGGCCATGGCTCCTCGGCGGCGCAGCTGCAAGAGAGGTGTCAGGCCGCCCGCCCCCGCGGCGGGACGGCAGCCCGGGCACACCCGGCTCCCGCGATGCCCCGCCGCCGCCCGACCCGCCGGCAACCCCGCCGAGACGCACCCCCGTCGGGAAGCCACGGCAGGGCCCGCTCGAGATGTCATCATCCCCCGTGCCCCTCGACGGCCGCTTTTGCCCTCTCCCGCCCAGGCTTCCCGGGGAACTGTGCTTGCCCGCCGCAGAAAGGAGCGCGTCTGCAGCGCCCAGGATGCGGGAGAAACCGCCGCGGGGCGATGCCGGGCGCCGCAGGGCTGCGAGGCTGTCAGCTCCCCGCGGAGACCTGCTTATTTCAGGGTCCCGACAACCCTCCTGCCCGCCTCCTTCAGACTTAG